AGATGAGGGGGACACTGTACCCCAGCGAGGGTCAGTCCCTTCAGGAGGGAAGGGGGACCCCGTACCCCAGTGAGGGTCAGCCCCTTTAGGAGGGGAAGGCCGGAATTGGGACAGGCCTAGCATCTGCAAGTGTGATGAGGTTCATTTGTCTGATTGCCCCCTGAAGGGATAGAGGAATTCACAATGGTACCATTTTGTTTCACACAAATGCAGTCCTCTTACCTGTCAAGAGGAGCAACCACTTTCGGGGGACTGTGTAAATATTGCTTGAACCTCAGTTCAAAGGCCTGTCCAATTGTGCTGATGACAGTCTGTGCTAACCCCTCACAACACTCCAGGATATGACAGGCTGTGGAATGTTAACAGGAGCCTCCATTACTGAGAGTGACTCTCAAAATCTCATTAAATATCCACAATTACAACACAATTCCGAGGCTATTTCTTGGCCAATTTCCCTAATCTTATTTACGGCAAACTACATGTGACAATATTTTGATCTGAAATGGAGAAATGGTCAGTTGTGGTCCTCCTGTTTCTATTCAACTCATCCAAATGTCACTTCATGATCCCAAAATCAATTCTGCAACCGCACCCCCCCACTCCCACAAACTCCTAAACCCTTTCCCAGCTCTGACAGACACTCCAGAAACCCACTTGGCGTTCACCCAACCCCAACAGCTTTCCCAACCTCAAACAGGCAGCCATCTTTGAATGTCATGTCCATTTGTCTAGCACTGTTCACTTGGGAACCACAGAACATGAAGAGATGAGCCTGAGAATTTATTTCACATGAAACAATTTAAATATGTTCAGATCAGAGTGTTTTCCCATATACAATCTGGAATGCTCTCTCTTTTCTTTTATTTTATTACTCATTCACAAGGAATGTTTATTGCCCATCCCTAGTTGACCTCAAGAAGGTAGTGGTGAGCTGCTTTCTTTAAATTGCTACAGTCCAGATGCTGTAGGTAGGGTACCCTGAAGGAGGGTATTCCGGAATTTTGACCCAGTGACCATGAAGGAATGGCAAATTATTTCCAAGTGAGGATGATGAGTGGCTTGGATGGGAATTTGCACGGGTTGGGGTTCCATGTATCTGCTGCCTTTGACCTTCTAGATGAGAGTAGTTTGGAAGGTATTGCCTAAGGATCTTAGGTGAATTTCTGCAGTGCGTCTTGTAGACAGTACACACTGCTGCTACTGAGCGTCAGTGGTGGAGGGAGTGAATGTTTGTGGATGTGGTGCCAATCAGGCAGGGGCTGCTTTGTCCAGGATGGTGTCAGGCTTCTTCAGTGTTGTTGGGGCTGCACTCATCCAGGCAAGTGGGGAATATTCCATCACACTCCTGACTTGTGCCTTGTAGATGGTGGGCAGGCTTTGGGGAGTCAGGAGGTGAGTTACTTGCAGAGAGTTCTGAGTCTGTGACCTGCTCCTGTAGTCACTGTGTTTACATGGCTAGTCTGGGTCAGTTTCTGGTCAATGGTATTGATAGTGATGGATACAGTGAAGGCAACACCATGAAAAGTTAAGGGCTGATAGTTGGATTCTGTCTTGTTGGAGATGGTCATTGCCTAGTATTTGTGCAACATAAATGTTATTTACCTCTTGTCAGGCCTGGATCCTGGCCAGGTCTTGCTGCATTTTGATATAGGCTGCTTCAGAATCCAATGAGTCACAAATGATGCTGAACTTTGAGATATGTTGATTGATTGCACCATAACCAAATTAAGAAAAAATCACGCGTGTGAGAAAGCCTCGTTAACTCAAAGGAAGTCTTCTCCATTTCACCCGCTGTGGCCGTTTACCTACATTGGCTGCTGGTCCTGCAACACTTAAGCTTTCCATCCTATTTCCAAATGTCTCCGTGATCTCTAATCTCCTAGAGGCACACAACCATCCAAGACCATTGGTGCACCTCTAGTTCTGGCGTCTGGCATTTCCATTTTAATCAGTCCACCATCAGTTACCATACCTTCATCTACTTAACCATAAACCTCTCATATCTCTTTTTAAGATGTTCCTGAAAAACCATCTGTGACTAAGCCATGAGCAAGTGTCAATCAAGCTTTTCATGTGGTTCTGTTTTAAATTTTATTTGATAACACTCCTGTGAAGCAAGGCCCCAGTGGTAGTTGCAAGTACTCACCTCTCTGATTTACAGGATCCTTCGCTACATAGGCAACATAATCTGTGGTATCCTACAGGAGAAGACAGGAATTATTCACTGCTTTGTAATAACACTTCACATTAAGGAGTAACATCAGCTTGATTGTGCACTTCAGGGCCTGGAATAATGGGATACTGTGCTGAACCATGTCCTGAATCTGAATAGGAGAGATTCAGTCACTCTCAGATTTAAGAAATTCCTCTCTCTGGTATTTTGATTGAGGAACAACCTACTTAAAATTACAGGTTAATGAGCTAATATTGCAATTAAAATAGCTGTCTGAAGAATTTCAAACTGTACATTACGGTTTCCCGTAATCATGTTTATAGAAGTCAGTAACCTGGATATAAGGGATCAGGGTTCATTTGGTGTACTTCCTTCAGCCAGTGATCTGAGAGTTGATCAACAGATTTAGGAAACCTGATCACAGTCGGTCTGTCAGGATTACTGCTGCTGAGTAGAAGTCAGTACATGGTACTCATCTGAATCTTGGAGTGAATCCTCACAATGATCAACTAAACTGCAATCGATCGCTGCCTCCAACTGGAGAAGGAAGTCACTGAGCACAAACATCACAGAATAAACATAGACCCACTGCCAAACACCCAGGAACCAGTCACTGAGCAGTTCTGGTTCCTCCACACACAGAAATCCTGTGAGCTGCCCAATGGGGCAATTTAAAAAAAGAGCTGTGGTAACAATGATTCTATCAGGTCAGGTAACTCCTTACTGTGTCGCCACCAGAAGCGAAGGAGATGGACTGCATGTGATGGTTCGCGATGATCTGGGAACAAAACACACAAAATATTTCACTGCACACACTCAGCCTCAGGCAGAGAACAAAGACAGTTGTCCTCACTTTGCAAGTCCCAGGGCCCAGAGACACCAGCACAAACTGCACACTCGAGGGTAATATTTATGTTGTTCTCTTGACAGCAGGAACTCCAGGACCCAACCCAACCCAACCCAACATCCTATACTCCTGAACCTGCCCTGATTGTGGGGGTCTGTGGGTGTGCACATGTGGGTTGGAGGAGAAGAGGGAGGAGGCGGAGGAGAGTGTGGGCCTGTTGCTGAGTGTTTCCTCAGTCTCTGGGCAATATAAACCTCATGCCTACAGCACATCCTGTTACCCCTGTCACCCTCCCTCCATTCAGCATTTAGCCCCATCCCCAGTTTAATCACCCGTGCCCAGTGTGGGGTTACCTGTCGGGTGGTGGGCAATGCAAGGTTTAACCCTTCGATGGAGATGTTGATGGTGATGCTCATCCCAGCAAACCGCAGGTTGCTTCTCCCCAGGATGGATTGCAGGGATTGGTTCGAAGGCTAAAGGGGGTCAGGGTGCAAAAGAACACACACACACGCACACGGTCAAAATTAACAACAGGAATTAAATGGTCAGCGGTTAGTGAGTCTCACAGTCCAGAACCCTTAACCAGACCAGCAGTGCCCACGAAACCTGTCCCCCAGGGAGAGTCAGTGTCTGTGTGGGGGAACACATCCGCCAGCTCCCCCCCCCACGCAGAGAGAGCGCGAGTTGGGTGGGGGACCTGTCCCTCAGGGAGAGTAAGAGTGTGTGTGTGCACACATGCACATGTCCAATGGAATCAGAGCCAGGGATTTCTGACTCACTGTGTGGGGTTTCAGAGGGAGACTGCTTCACTTGTACCAATGACAATTGTCCAAGGAGGCACAGGGCAGTGGGTGGGTACCTCATGGAACGAGGAACCTCACTTTATAATGACGATGAACCGACGGAGGCACAGCAGTTCAGTCTGAGATAAATCAGTCACAATCCAAGCTCAGTCTGTCTTCGTTCATACCTTCCTTTTCCAAGCCCCTTTCACTCCTGGAACTGTTTCGTGCAGCCGATTAATGGCTTCCCTGCAAAGCGAGATTTATCTGGTGAGAGAAGATTCAGTTTGGAATAACAGACGCTGCCTGTCTCTGGGCACATAGAGTCCCATCAGTACCTGTCCCAAACACCTTTCACCCAGTACATCCCAAAGCTCTTTACAGCCAATGACACACTTCTAAAGTGTAGGCCTAATTGGGCCCAGTGTAGCCAACTGGCACACAAAGACAGCACAGCGTTCCCTCTGCACTGCACTGGGAATTTCAGACTGTACTCCAGTCATAATCATCACTTTAAGGGTTGTATGGGACATATTCCCTGGTGAGAGTGGAGAATGAAGATTTCAGGGCTCAGAGAGGTGGCTATTATCACCAGTTTTTAGCCATTTTCACATTCTTTTTAGCACTGACTTTCCCCAAAGCAAAACGACTGGCAGGGAAATCGAAGTTATCACATGGTCCAGGAGGCAAGAGTGAGCATCTCAGGATGATTCACAATGATCATCATCATTGTTGCCCCAATTATTTACAGATGGAAATATTGAATAAACAAGAATTGTTTTGAAAACAATTTCAAATAAATTCAGCTGCAGTGAGAAGCTGCTTTACACACAGTTAATTTCAGATGTGGAAAATTATGTTTCCAATTTGTCCTTTACCAAGAACATATTGAGTACAATTTTAAGACAAAGCGTTCCAGTTTTCCAATCAAGAATTTTAGAGATAATTTTATTCATTGTTTGTGGCCCAGTGCTGATGTTCTCAGTTTTATCTCAGAACAAGCTGGCTCTTTAAGGAACATCATCAATATTAGATTAGCACTGCAGTCAGCTCTTACTTTGCCCTATCGATCGGTGCTGCTATTTCTACCCCATTCTCAACATTGTACTGATTATGTTGCTGAGCACTGCAAAGGAGTTGATTGCATCAATAGAAAACTGTCAGCCCCACTTCACAAGCTCCTGAGCACAATGATCCAGACTACAGTCATTTACAACACACATTGTTCAGGGGTGCGTGGTAGAGAACAGCTACAGACTGAAAGGAAGGGAGAGAAAAACAAGAGAGAGAGAAAAGGAGATGAGGAAGAGTACCGTATAGGGGAGAATCCACAACCTCTCAGTCTCTATGTTGTGTTTGAAGAGGGTGTTGGGAAGGTGGTGATGTTCGTGGGACTGATTGCCCAAGAGATAATAATAACTAAAATAAGCAGGCGCTATCTTAAGAAACACCATCTTTGAGAGTGAAACTGAATACTGATTGCATTAACATTTCGACTCATTTGGCTTCTAACCATCTTTAATTCAGTAGTAGTCAATGACCATAACTAGATTTAATCCTGTGGAGATTCTGTCAGTAATATACTCATCTTACCTTGTGACCTGTGTTCTTGTGTTGAAGTCAAGGGATCTCATTGATTTGACCACTTCAATACAACCCATATACTGTAACAGGAAGATACAGGGTCAAACATAAGTATAACCAAGATAAATCTTCAAATCTCATTTTATAAATGGACGACTCGGCCCATTGTGCTTGCGCCAGCTTTTTGAAAGACCTCTCCAATTAGGCCCACTGCCCTGTTCTTTCTGATGCCTTTTGGAAGTTTCTATTGAACCGGTTTCCACTGCTGTTTCACAAGGCCACAGAGATCTAAAGCACAGTAAAATGTCCTTGAACCTATCGAGTCCATGCCAGTCAGAAACAACCATTGAAATCATAGAATCTTTAACAGTGTGGAAACAGGCCCTTCGGCCCAACACGTCCACACCGTCCCTCCGAGCATCCCACCCAGACCCACCTCCTTATAACCCACCTAATCTACACATCCCTGAACACTATGGGCAATTTAGCATGGCCAATCCACCTAGCCTGCACATCTTTGGACTGTGGGAGGAAACCTGAGCATCCGGAGGAAACCCACACAGACATGGGGAGAATGTGCAAACTCCACACAGACAGTCACCTGAGAGTGGAATTGAATCTAGGTTCCTGGTGCCGTGAGGCAGTAGTGCTAACCACTGAGCCACCATGCCGCCTAACCACCTAACTATTCTAACCCCATTTTGGAGCACTTGACTCATAGCTCTGTCTGCCTTGGCCTTGCAGGTGTGCATCGAAATCCTTCTTCAATATCATGAGGGTTTCAACTCTCCCACCCTTACAGGCAGGGATCTCCAGTTATCCACCACCCTGCTCATGAAAAAGTATTTCCTCACAATTCCTCCAAACCTCCTGTCCTTTACCTTAAATCTATGCCCCCAGTCATTGATCCCTGCATTGAGGAGATAAGTTTCTTCTGTTTATCCTGTCTGTGCCCTTCAATTTTGTTGTTTTTTTTAATTATCCCATGGGACGTGGGTGTTGCTGGTTGGTCAACACAAACTGCCCATTCCTAGTTACTCTTGAAAAGATAGCGGGGCTATTAATCCAGAGACCCATGACCACAAAACCGTTGTCAGTTATCAGGTTCACTAACGTCCTTTAGAGAAGGAAGCTGCCATCCTTACTTGGTCTGGCCTACATGTGACTCCAGACCCACAGCAATGCGGTTGACTCTGGCAATTAGGCATGGGCAATAAATGCTGGCCCTGCCAGAGATACCCTCATCAAGTGAATGAATTTTTGAAAAGTTCCTGTGCTATAGGTAGACCATGTCTCCTCTGCGCCAAGGAAAACAACTCCAGTCTTTCAAATAACCAACACTCTCCAGTCCAGGCATATCCTGGTAAATTTCCTCTGCATCCTCTCCAATAACGTGAATTCCAGAACTCCACACTATTCTCTAGTTGTGGCCTAACTAACATTTTATACAATTCCAGCATCACCTTTTTTTTTATTCATTCATGGGACGAGGGTGTCACTGGCCAGGCAGCATTTATTGCCCATCCCTAATTGCCCAGAGGGCAGTTAAGAATCAACCACATTGCTGTGGGTCTGGAGTCACATGTAGACCAGACCAGGTAAGGATGGCAGTTTCCTTCCCTAAAGAACATTAGTTTTTACAACAATCGACAATGGATTCACGGTTATCATTAGATGATTAATTCCAGATATTTATTGAATTCAAATTCCACCATCTGCCAAGGTGGGATTCGAACCCGGGTCCCCTGAACATTATCTAGGTCTCTGGATTAACGGTCCAGTGACAACACCACTAAAGCCATTGCCCCACCTCCTTTCTCTTAAACTCTACACCTCAGCCAATAGATGACGTCCCATCTTCAGCACACTTTTTTTATTCACTAGTGGGAGTGTGAGCTTTGCTGGCTAGGCTAGCATTTGCTGCCGATCCCTGACTGCTGGAGAAAGGTTGATGGTTAGCCAACTTATGAATCAACATAGGTATTCTCACACTGCTGTCAATACTGCTGTGTTCATCCAGCTCTACACCTTGTTATCTTTATCATAGATAGATTGGTGACTTGGGCACAGAAATGGCAGATGGAGTTTAATCCAGACAAATGTGAGGTGATGCATTTTAGAGAATCAAATTTAGGTGTGAATTATACTATAAATGGCAGAACCCTTAGGAATATTAACATTCAGATTGATCTGGGCATGCAGGTCTACAGTTCCCTAAAAGTGACAATACAGGTGGCCAAGGTAATTAAGAAGGCATATGGCCTGCTTTCCTTCATCAGCTGGAGCGTGGAGTACAAGAGCTGGCAAACCATGTAGCAACTACATAAAACCCTTGTTAGGCCATTTTGGAGTATTGTGTACAGATTTGGTCACCACATTACCAGAAGGATGTGAAAGCTTTGAACAGAGTGCAGAGAAGGTTCACCAGGATGTTGCCTGGTCTCGAGGGCATTGGCTATGAGGCAAGGTGCTGTGTTCCACCAGCTCCATTGGGGAATCTAGAATGAACAGGTCACAGTTTCAGGATAAGTGATTGACCATTTTGGACTTGGCTGAGGAGAAATATCTTTAGAAGTTTGTGATTTTTTAAAAATTCCCTACCCCCAGAGAGCTGTGCATGCTCAGTTGTTGAGTCGATTCAAGTTGAAGATTGATAGATTTTTGGACCCAAAGGAAACAGAGTTAATACCGAGGGCAGACAGGAAGATGGCATTGAGGGAATAAAAAGCCCCAATTAAGGATCCAACTTGAGGGGTCAAATGGACTATTCACTCTAAATATTTACTCTCATACATTCTGAAAGTTCAGCACAAGTTCCTTAGTTTGTACTCAAATCCACTTTTCTCCACACTTTTTAGATAGAAATGTCTTCCCCTTGTATTCACACAGGACACGCTTTTCCATGCAGTCCTGAAGAGAAGGACAAACAGCCAGGATTCCTGCCCAGTCACTGAAGGGTGTCTGTGGAAGGGTCACTCAACCTGAAACGTTAACTCTGTTTTCTCTCCACAGATGCTGCCAGACCTGCTGAGTTTTTCCAGCAGTTTCTGTTTTCCTTACTGAGGGTGCGGTGGCTGATCAAGAGGATTGGGTTAATGGGTTTTCAGGAGAGAAAATCTTTAAGAAGCATGTCCACACACAGACACAATATAATCAGGTTTGGAACCCAAGAAAATACATTTCACGCCGAGGGCTGTGTCTGAGAGATGAATGTGTTCATACAGAGAAGAGCTAGCAGTAGTTCCCTGGAGCCTGCTCGGATACTGCGAGCTGGGGTTGGGGCGGAGAAGGTTGCATATAGAAATTCACAGCTGCTCAAATTACATTTTGGTCTCTTAAGTAGCTCATCACAGCTCCCACTGCATTAAATGAGGAGGCAAGGTCAGACAGGGCACCAATAATGCCAGGAAAGGATAAAATGCTGAATCATTTTAGATTCTGCCCACTGTCTCTCTCAAAAACCAATATACAAGAGAATGAGAGATAGTAGGAACTGCAGATGCTGGAGAATCCGAGACAACAAGGTGCAAGGCTGGATGAACACAGCAGGCCAAGCAGCATCATAGGAGCAGAGAGGCTGACGTTTCGGGCCTAGACCCTTCATCAGAAAAGGGGGAGGGGAAGGGGGTTTTGAAATAAATAGGGAGAGAGTGGGAGGCGGATAGAAGAGGGATGGAGGAGAGGATAGGTGGAGAAGAAACAAACAGGTCGAAGAGGCGGGGATGGGGCCAGGAAAGGTGAGTGTAGGTAGGGAGTTAGGAAGGGGATAGGTCAGTCCAGGGAGGACGGACAGGTCAAGGGGGCGGGATGAGGTTGGTCGGTAGGAGATGGAGGTGCGGCTTGAGGTGGGAGGAGGGGATAGGTGGGAGGAAGAACAGGTTAGGGAGGCAGGGACGAGCTGGACTGGTTTTGGGATGCGGTGGGGGGAGGGGAGATTTTGAAACTTGTGAAATCCACATTGATACCATTGGGCTGCAGGGTTCCCAAGCGGAATATGAGTTGCTGTTCCTGCAACCTTCGGGTGGCATCGTTGTGGCACACCTGACCCTGACAGATCAGAATTTGAGGAATGAAAGATTCGGATCTGAAGTATATACGGCTGCTTCATCTCCCACCCCTGTTTGTCACATCATGTTATGAATATGTTCCCAGATTTCCTGATTGGATGGGAGCAAGTTTCTACTTGTATGGAATTTCTCATCAGAGAGTCATGGCCACTAATTGCAGGAACGAATGACACCTGCAGTACACAACTGCCTCGCCTCATTGACTCATCCTCTTGCAGTAACTCTACAGGGTTCAGGTTCTCCATATCCTTCAACCCCAAAATCCTGTGTCCCTTGACAATAAAAAAAACCCCTCTATTCCTCAATCCTAATCTCTCCACCATTGAACTCAATAGCCCCCAGTGCCATTAGATTTATTGCGTCATTGGTCATCCCTGAGAATTGACACCACTCCGGAAAAGTATTCCCTGCAGAATTCCCTTCTTACTCTGGTTGTTGTGTTTTTTCAGGTTGTGAGGCAGATGTTTCTCAGCCTGTGCTGTTGTTGAGCTGGAATGGTGTCTCTGGCTGTCACACATGGCCCAGGCCACTCTGAACTTTCAATTAAGTTTCTCTGTAGGGGAATCGAGAGTTATGGGGAAAGGACAGTAAGGTGGACGTGAGGAATGTCAGATCAGCCAGGTCTACTGGTCTTATTGAAATACAGTGTGTACAACTGCTATTGAAACTTGTATAAAGATCAATTGTGATAATCCTATAACACACAGCTGAAGTCGTATATTTGCAGAAGGTATTGTTAGGCCAGGTGTATCCTTTGTGATTTGAGGTTCTGCCCACAACTTTGGAGAAAAGCATTGAACTGTTTGTTCATTAATTCTGACCAACAATTGATGTCTCTGGTTGGTAAACGATATTCCATCGAATGTTTCACCTGCTCCACAACTATTTGCTGTTGGGAAGTGATCAGTAGCAGGAACTGTGACTGATCTCCCCTTCTCCTATAACATAGGGTAGGGGAGGGGAGGCGAATGGGTGAATGGACAGTGGTCAGTAGCAGGAATCTCACCGTCTCT